ACAGTATTCCATCGCGTGGACACACCACGTTGTGTTATCCTTCATCCATTGGTGGGCACTTGGGTTGTTTCCACCTTTGGCTGTTGTGAGTGACGCTGCTGTGAGCACTCACGTACTGATCTTTGAGGGGGTGTGTGTTTTCGTTCCTCTCGGGTATGTCCCCAGGAGTGGACTGGCTGGGTCACATGGTGTCTCTGGGTTTAACCGTTTGAGGAACCGCCAGACTGTTCCCACTGCGGCTGCACCATCTTACAGCCCACCGCTTGTATGAGGGTCCTGATTTCTCCACATCCTTGCCGACCCTTGTCATCTTCTGTCTTTAAGTCCTCGCTGTCCCAATGGGTGGGGGGCGTCTCCTGGCGGTCCTGATGTGCGTTTCCCTGAAGACTGATGGTGTCAAGCAGCTTCTCATGTGCCTCTTGGCCGTCTGTATGTCTTCCTTGAAGAAATGTCTGTTCAGATCCTTTTCCCGTTGTTGAATTTGGTCACTTGTCTTTTTATTACTGACTGGTAAGAGTTCTTTATAAGGGAATTTTTTTGAGTTGCACCTATTTGCATGTGAACTTAGAATCCACAGCTCCGTGGTGATTGCTGGAAGGGAGCAGGGCCAGGGAAAGGGCACAATCCCCTGGTCCTATGGTGGATCTCACCTTTCTCCCCAAACCTGAAAGTGGCAGCCACCCCCAGAAGACCTGTCCCCATTGGTGCCCACCCTGTCCCAGTGAAGGTGACTGCCTGAAGAGGCTTCAGCTGCGGGGTCAGGCGCCCATCCGTCCTGGCAGGAGAGAGCGCTGCCTCAGGGGGCCTGAAGAGCCTTCCAGACCCACGCTCCTCTCGTGCCAGATGCCGTTTCTCTTTGGGAAACCAAGAAAAAAATATTTTTAAATGGCTCCAAACCCACTAAGCAAACCTTGGCACCCCCACCTCCACGGAGAGGCCCCACCCCTGCATGTCATCTTTGGGGACCCCCCTGGAGACCCCCACCTTACGAGCGGGTTTCTGGGGCTAGTGCCACTCCCAGACAATGGTGTGGAACCATCTTCGGTCCCAGGGACCCATCTGGCCCCCGCTCCCTGCTCTGCCTTCCTTCAGGCTGTGAATTATTGATGCTGAGGGAGGGCGCTCTGTACTGCCATGTTTATTTGCGTTTAAGCCTCTCTTGTGCAAAGCTCCTGAGTAAGGTTGCTGTGTCGTGGATCATCTTTCTTTTTGGTTTCTCTGTTTCTCTTTTTGTTGGGGGTGGGGCTGGAGGCTGAGCAGTGGCTGCAGGAATTGCATTGCATGAGGGCTTACTTTAAAACAGGAACTGTCCCCAGCCACACCAGGAAGCTGTTCCCTGTGGCCAGGCACATCTCATCTTGCATTTTAGCGGCCTTCTTCATGCCATCACCACCCTTCTGGGGGTCTGGCTCCCTGAGGATCGTGCTTGCTCTCCTTGGGCTCCCCCAACACTTGGGCGCCCAATGGAGGGCTGATTCCGGGGGACTGACACTCACTGAATCCCCAGCTCCCCCACTCCTGGGAAGACCTGCAGGGGTCCCTTCTGGGGTCTGGCATGGAGCAGGCCCAGGGAGGAGGGAGGGCAAGGGCAGAAGGATGTGGCCACAGCCCTGCCAGACAAGGGCCAGAGGAGGGAGTGAGGCCCCGGGAGGGTTCTGGGCTGGATCAGGCGGGCCTGGGCTGGTTCCTTCTCTGTCCCCGTCTTGCCCAATGCCACCCTGGGACCTTGTGGTCGCTCAGCCTAAGAGCCACAATGTGTCTGGGGGAGGGCTTGAGGGTGGGGTCTGGTTCTGGAAGGCAGCGCCCACTGTCTACCCCTCCCATCCTAGGGCCAGTGCTAATTCAACCCAAACCCACCATCTCATGCCAGTGGGCACTGGCAGAGGAGGTGGACACTTCCTCTGCTGGGTGCCCTCAGGGCCCCTGTCTCCTCCCCTAATCAGACGGTGAGCTCCTCAGACTTACCAGGGGCTCTGAATGTAGCAGGTGCTCGATGTGTACTGTCAAGGGGAGGGGTCTGGGGCCACCCCCTAGTCCTGGGGAAGGAAGGGCACAGCTGCCCAGAAAGCCATTGCCCATGTCAACGAGCATTCGCTGAGCACTGCCTGTGTGCCCGGGGTTGTGCTGGGCCGTGGGTGGGCGAGACTGACCCTCACGCTGGCCACCTCCTCTGGGCTCGGTGCGTCCCCTCCATCTCAGGCAGGAGTGCCAAAGCCCACCTGATTACAGAATTTCCTCACGATCTGGAGACAACAGGTGTCAGGGCAGAAGAAGAGCCGATGGTGGCAGGCAGTTGAGGGGCAGCACCCACGGTCTCCAGGTGTCCAGGGAAGGGGTCACCTCTGCAGGGAAGGGAGCCTGGCAGGGCCCCCGTCAGTGGCCCATGGAAAGTGGCTGCTCTGCTGAGAGAGGCTGAGTGCCAGGCTGAGGGCAGGGCCCATCACCTCCCAGGGGCCCTGGCCTGGCCTGACCCCTGGAATGCTCCATCCATCTCACTCCTTCCCTGGGCAGAGCCAGCCCTGCCTCTGCTGAGATGCCCCAGGGGCTGGGGGCAGGGGCCCTGGTCTCACCTTGCAGTTACCTACCCGAGTTGCCCATGGACCTACTGTGTGTGGACTCCCCTGTGCCGAGGGGATGCTGGGGGAGACAGACCTGCCCTCAAGGAGCTCACTGCCTGGGGGCTGCTCAGCGTGGCTGAGTGGTCATCGGCAGGTGGGCATCAGGTCTTGTCTAGGCCCCCACCCAGGCCCAGAAGTTGCCTGAGTAATTAGGACTGGGGGGCCTTTGCTCAGCCTTGCAGGCCAGGGACAGCTGGTAAGGGGGCCGAGAGGCAGGGAGAGCAGGCAGCTCAGAGACCAACAGGGCTTGCTGGCAGGTGGGCTGTGAGCAAGAGAGGGGGACTCCTCGTGCAGATCCCTCACCAGCCCCGAGGACCCTGAGCCACCCTTGGCCAGCCCTTACCTGGGTCCAGCCCACCCTGGGCTGTGCTGTCACCTTCTGGATTCTGTGTGAGTCCTGTACTCCCATACCCTGGCCCTGACAGCAGCCAGTGGGGACCAGTGGGGACCCCCAGGATGGCTGCCCTCCAGCCTGGAAGCCCGGAACAGGGACCGCAGGTCTCGGCAGCTCTCCTCTCTTGGGAATCTGTTTCATGTCCTAACTTCTCTTCTCGAATCCTTGCTCCCTCCCACCTCCCTGGACGAGGTCAAGGCCTCCTTAGTTGGTGTAATGACTGCCCTCTGGGCCCTCAGATGACCCACCAGGGTGCCGGTCTCTCTGTCACACAGTTATATGTTCATCCCAGTCCTGCCACGTAAAAGCCACGTGTGGCCTAGGGCAAGTGATTGAATTCCTTCATGCCTCAGTTTCCCCATCTGTAAAATGGGGGTTAAATAAGAAAATACACGTAAGGGGTTCTAATGCCTGTCCATAGCTGTACTGTTGTTATTATTAACATTGGTCTGTCCTCATTAAGTGGCATTCTCCACGCTCGTGCTGTGTGGCAGATTCTGACTCTGGCATGGGGACCCAGAGATGAAAATGCCACCTGTCCCTACCCAGAAAAGCTCCAGTCTGATGGCGAGGAAGACGTGTGACCAGTTAAAGCACACAGTGCCACAGGACTCGGGATTTAGACATGCAAACCAAAGCAGGCTCTCACCTCTGCCTGCAAGATGGGCAAGGCTCTGGAAGTCGTGATCCGTGTTGGCCAGAGCACCGGGAGCCGCACTCACGCAGCCTCAGTGGAGGCCAGTTGCAGGATCCATCCCCAATTTAAATGCCCTGCTGCTCCTTGTCCCAGAGGTTCCACCGAAACACTTGCAGAGATGTTGGTTGTGGACTAGGGCAGGCCGTGCAGCCTTTCTGTGATTCTGACCAACTGAAAATGCCCAAAATGCCCCTCAGCCAGCAACTGGGTGGACAAGTTATGGTCCAGCTGAGCTTTGAGTAGCATGCAACCATACCAAAAAACCCCAGAGGCAGATGGGAAGGAATAGGGACTCCCTTGGTGTTCCAATAGGCTTCGGACCATTCTGGAAGGATGCTACGAGATTGTTGGCCATGGTTGGCTCAGACTCGCCAGGGGCGGGGCTGGGAAAGGTGGTAATTTTCCTGTCTGGTACTGTTTCAATTAGTTTTTATCAAGATGTATCCTTGCATTCATAATTTAAGAAGAAAATGGAAAGAATTTGAAACAATGCAGGAGCATGCAGAGGAGAAAACACCTTTTTGTTGCCTGTCACCTCCATCTCTCCCCATGTCACACTAGTGTGTTGTTCCCTGGCCTCCTGATGCAGGAGAGCTTTATCCTGTCCCTGCCATGGATGGAGGGTGGGGGCCCTTCTTCCAACTGAGCCCATGGACACTGGAGCTTGTCACCCGCTAGCCATCTCCTCCCAGGGCAGGGATGGTGTGAGCCCCCAGTCCCCAGCGCTGGGCATGCACCCCTTCCTTCAGCAATTCCCAGGGTGCCCACTGGGAATGGTGCGCAGCCTGGGGGGCGCACAGTAGGTGTCCAGGCGCCGTTTCAGGCCCGAATGACTGCACGGACGACCCCAGCCGGGCTGGCAGTTATTTGGTTCCTTCAAGCCCCCACCACCAGTGTGGCTGGCGGCATTGTGCCGGGGCAGGTGGCACGCTGTGCCCGGATAGGGGTGGGCGGCGGCGGGGAGCC